TGCATTAATAACTCAAAAAGACTTACTTTGGTATATTATGTGTGGGGTTTGTGTATATATGTTGGGGGTTCTGGGAGCAGGGTGTGGGTTTGTGGGGTGTGAGGGAGGGTGGGGGGTGTTGGAACCCCCCACAGTCTCCCCACTATGGTGCACAGGCCCTGCTGGCACCACCAGCAGCAACAGACAGCCAGTGCTCGGGGCACTTGTGCCCAGCTCAAGTGCTGCTGCCAGAGGCACATGGCTCTGGCCAGTGCTGCACATGGGGGCAAGGAGTGCAGCCGGGCTGGCCTGCCTCTATCATGCGGGGCTCTGCACAGCGCACATGCAGCTCCCATACTTGCACAACAGCAGGGGAATCCCTTCGTGATGGAGCTGGCTGCCTTCACCACTTCCTGCCACACGGGTACTGGGACTCTGTGGGGAAGCAGAGCCTGGGGCTCCCCTCCACTTCCGGCGGAGCAGGGAAGGATCTGCGCAGCAGGGAGTGGTGAAGGCAGCAAGCTCCATCATGTGGGTCTTCCCTCAGTGGCGCACAAGTGGAAGAGCTGCACGTGTGCTGCACAGAACCCTGCGTGGTAGAGGTGGGCCATCCTGGCTGCACTTCTTTCCACCACATGCAGCACTGGCCAGAGTTGCATGCTGCCACGAGCACCCTGAGGGCCTGCTGCCTACTGCTGACTTGGCCAGGCCCTTCCACACAAAAGAGTGGAAACAAGGCGCAATACGGTATGTTTCAGGTAGGGTGTATATGTGGGTGCCTTGTTCCCACCCTCGTGGGCAGAAGGGCTGGGTGGGGGACAATTAGTTGGTGGGCACCTGTGGTCCAAGTGAAATTGCCTGGCAGGACAGATCCAGCCCATGGGCCATATTTTTCCAGCCCTTGTTTCAGCTGCTTTCTTTAGAAGACACAACGTATTAAAGTCCATGACTACTGTTTAGAAGTAATTGATGATTACTTATGCCAGACAAGAAAGCTGATATTTTTAACAGTTTCTTTGCCTCTGTTTTCTTGAACAGGGACTGGGATATCCCACCTACCAGAGGTAGGGACAATCTCAGGGATAGCTCTGTCAGGCCTTCAGTCAGTGCCGATGTAGTTAGGGATCTTCTGGAAGGGCTAGACATTTTTAAATCTGCAGGTCTAGATGCCTTCCACCCAAGGGTGTTGAGGGAGCTGGCAAGGGTCATCGCAGAGCCCTTGACCCGGCTATATGAGCATTTGTGGTCATCTGGCCAGGTGCCGGGGGATTGAAAACTTGCTAATGTGGTCCCAATTTTCAAGAAAGGGAGGAAGGAGGACCCAAGTAACTATAGGTCGAAGTGAGGCCTGTAAGCCTTACCTCGGTGCTTGGGAAGATCTTGGAGAGAATCATCAAGGAGCACATCTGTGGGGGGCCTGCAGGGGAGATCATGCTCAGGGGCAATCAGCATGGGTTCATCAAAGGCAGGTCCTGCCAGACCAACCTGATTGCCTTTGATGACCAAGTAACTAAATCCTTGGATGATGGTGTTGCTGTGGACATAGTCTTTCTAGACTTTAAGAAGGCCTTTGACACTCTCTCTCACCCCATCCTCATCAATAAATTAAGCGACTGTGGCATTGATGCCTACACAGTTGGATGGGTAAAAAATTGGCTGATGGGGCACACCCAGAGAGTAGTGGTGGACGGGTTGTACTCAACCTGATGAGATGTGAGCAGTGGGGTACCCCAGGGCTCGGTCCTCGGGCCCGCACTCTTTAACATCTTCATCAGCAACTTGGACGAGGGGGTGGAAAGCACGCTGTCCAAGCTTGCTGATGACACTAAGATGTGGGGCGAGGTGGACACACTTGAAGGGAGAGAGAGGCTGCAACTAGATTTAGACAGACTACAAAAGTGGACAGACAAGAATAGGATGGGGTTCAACGTAGACAAATGCAGGGTGCTGCACCTTGGAGAAGGAATCCACAGCATACATACAGGCTGGGG